CGTATCACCTAGTGTTGCAGTCAGAGACGTTACCACTGAGCTATTCGGGCTCGCAATTGACCTTCTGTAGGACTGTAGTGAATATTTTTGATTGGACACTAGTCAGTAACTACTGTAATGTGTCTAGTCCTTTGTTTGGTGCAGACTGCATTTTATCAGTCAAGTTTGAAATATGGCCACCATGTTAGGTGGCTGACCGTCATGGTTTGCTGTGCATTGCTGATATTAGATAGTTGGATGCAATCAGCAGAAAGCCTTGCTCGACCTAGTTTTCATGCTAGTTGGCACTACCATTCAGCAAGTCGTATCTGCAACCTTTAAGGAACTTATGTCCCTTCTGCGATTCAAACCATTCACTTTTAAGCTTATCTGTAAAATATATTTCTAAAGTTATTGATTTGTTTTTCTATACTTTAAAAATCACTGTGCTGTGCATCAGGAAACCCCATTTTAGGCAGAATTCAGCCTACTTATGCATCAGTGAAAGTTAAGCATCTATGGATATCTTAAGGTGACACTTTTCTGTTTTAATGAATTATTAGTGCAATTTTTGATTAAACAGAGACTATTTCATGTTACTGCACATTGCATTGAAGACAAAATCCTTATCTAACATTTCCTTTTTTGCATTTTACAGTTCACAGTCTGATATCTCTTGGTGATAAAAGTAAATTTCAGAATATTGTTAAACAGTGTCTGTTCTTTTAAAACGTCGAATTCATATAGATGTCTGCAATTATAATTAGCTGTTTTATCGACTTCTAATATAGATAGTATCGTCTAAAGGTAGAGACAAGATCCTTGATACATAAAACTTACTTCCTTCTATATAAAATCTGCAAAAAACGTTGGTGTAAAGCTTAAAACGCCTATAAACATGAATGACACATTAACATTATGGGCGTTCTGTATAGTATTAATCTTCATTTCAATCGATAACATGCGCTTATTTCACTCGTGTTCTCTGAGTGTTACAGATAACTGAAATCAATTCAAACTGTCGAAAAATACACATTTTAAAAATTAAGCACTATAAATATGACCTGATTGTATAGCTTGGTGACATGAAAATGCTTATAAACCGTTCTTTACTTTTGTCAAGTTATAGCAGTGCTATATTGATTTTAACTGGAGGCAGTGTTGAAATACTCCTTAAATATGCGGTAAGATACGGAATTAAACATTTCGCTTTCTTAAGTTCATTATCAAGTTTGTATGCACATATTAGACACAGGCTGAGTATACATAAACTAATTAATGCAGGAGATTTCATCATAGAGCGTTAAGGAGCGTGAAACCTATGACTTGCTTTGTTATTAACAACGTAATTTTAGGCTCTTTTATTCCTCTCTTATTTTGTATTCTATTGTGAACTCCTTCTCAAACATACTTAGCTACCTAAATTATTAACATTGGCTTACTTTTTTGTACTTTACTATATTCCTTCTATTGTGTATCCACCGGTCCCGACTCTATTAGCACTATGAGTATTACAAAATTGTCCTGTCGTTAACCATCATGTAATTATTAGTTTTGTGGTTGTTTTTTCTTATTTTCTATACTTTTCGGCAATATTAAACTGACAATCATTGTTTGTGAACGCCATAGTCACCACCTTAAAAAATTTTGTATTATTCAGGATTACTCACACTACCACTACAAACACATCGCATTAGACCTGACAACAAAAAACAAAACAACAACCCCAAAATGTTATTTTATGATTGTTTAGAGTTGTTTCAACCAAATTAACTGACCATCTTGGCGATAAACATTCTTAAATATCATTTCATAACTTCTTGTATGACTATAGCTTTACTGTCACCATGCATAATCATATCATAGCTTCCACTACCCAATACTGAGATATTATAAATTATGTTGTTTATTTTCCTTTCTACTTCTTGGTACTTTTTCGCATTTATAATTATTTTTGTGTTTATCCTGTGTTTTTTTTTTGCGGTTGGTGTCTTTAGATTTATTCTTTTTTTTTGTTTGTTTAATACTCTTTTTAAATGTTTGGAAAATTAGATGCAAATATTGTAGATATGTGCTGAAAATTCCACACTCTACCACTAGTACTGTTTCTGGAATAAAGCAAATTATTGTTATTATTAATAATCTCAATGGCAGTAAACTCAGTTTATGTTGTAAATGAAAAACTTAAGACAAACTAGTTTTATATTTAATCTGAAGTGAAACAGAAAAATTTAAGGATTTTATGAAAATTCGACTCGTCAAACATTAAATAGGGAATTACTAGTTTGCTCATCTCTGTGAGGTTCTATCTACCAATAAATTTTGTTTCGTAAACTAACCCTGTAACATAGATTTCACTTAAATATATTGTACGTAACCCTTTTCTCTTTCGTGGAAACACTATATTTCATGGCAAATAGTAATTTGCTTATGAACCACTACCAGTAAATGTTATTTCTTTTGACCAAATGTTAGAAATCGTTACAGTCCTGAATGTCATCATCACATATTATTCTACTATTGTAGAAAGTTTTTGAAGCTTAGAAACATTTCCAGAGTAATAACAGAGCAGAGTAATAACCTACCTGGCTTTTTATCCTATTCTGCTCCCTTTCTTAATAAATGACAAGCTCTAAACTGGTTAGTCTTCATAAAGTTTTGTATCCCCATCACTATGATATGCCCAACATAATGCTGAAGCTAAAGAATGAATGTGGGAATAGGAAAGGAAGACTTTTTCTCGACTATTGGTATTGGAATGTATACTGAAGCCATTTAGAAAGTAATTTGTAAACAGATAAGCATCTGTCCATATACTCCTACATGTTTATTCATCCAGTCTCATTCGTCATTCAGTTAACGCCACTTATGAGTCTCTATCTAGAGGAACCTTGAGAAGTGTAACTTTGACAAGCTGATTTTTCATCTCAAGCATAATGTTTAAAGGCAGTTCAGTCATGCATAAAATCTCATATTACTTTCACTGCAAAATATAATCATAACTGAATGTTAACAATAACTATCTATCAATAATTTCAACATTGGCAGCAGCTTTCTTCGAGAAACGTGTGACAAGGAGTTGTTTAATGATACAATCTGTTAACTTCAAGTCTAAGTTTATCATGAGATGAAAGTACTGCCTAGTAAAAAGTCACAGAATCATAAGCCAGTAGGAAGGTTTCGCTAATGCACTATATGTATTCTTTCATATCGATGTATGCAGATAATTACGGACACCAGTTTAATTGGGAGAATGTAGAAATTTTAAATAGAGGAAACGCCAAAACTACAATAAGGGAATTCCTAGAAGCCTGGTACTCAAGTGAATCAGCCAGCGATTAGCAAACATATCACTGTAGACCGAATTTACTAACTCATAAAAAAGAAGTCACATGACAAGAAAGTTCGAATTCCAAGTCAATCGAAATGGCCAATAGAGACGTGATATAACAGCCAATTACGACTATGATTGTCAGGGGATACAATTATATCATCAATCATGGGGAACTCAAACAAGTTCACTCCATACTAAGACCTGCGTTGAATATGTTGTTTATGGGGACAATGAAAGCTTCGCAATTAAATTAACCAGCTCAGATGACACAATCACACCAAAATAACCTAAGTTCAATTTTCCTAATTAGCCCAAAGAATATACGATACTTCATCTTAATTATTATTATCTTTATTATTAGTATTATTATTTGCAGTGCTTAGATTTAGAAAACAGCGGAAATAAATGCTTATAGACATGTGGCTCAAGATCTTTGTGCTGTAGAGACACTGATTTTAAAGCAAATTATAAGTAAATATTATAATAGTAGGCCCAAAATTTCAAACAGGCCGCCAAGGTCAAGGTCGTTCCCCCTTAGTTCCCCCTTAGTTTTTCCCGGGCTACTGAAGAAAGACTATAACATATTACGCAGGATGTTTAAGGTTGTCAGCAGGGTAAGCAACGTGCCACTTAACCAGCTTGTTAATATTCTGGTTGACAAGCACGTGAACTCATGTGAAAAATGGGCCAAATCCACTTTATCTAACTCACACCACCCTCTTCACTCACAACTCTCTCCTTGCATATCATTAGGCAAAACCAGAAGCCTATATAGAAAACTATATGCTAGTACCAGCAAGTACAAAAACTCAACCATACCCTACTTAGCTCGTGTTCTGTGTGATAAAGAAAGCATTAGGCGTGACACCTATAATTTATTAAATAGTCAGTAGAACAAGTGGACCTCGTCTTTCCAACTCATATCATTTATAGGTATAACATTTTTTTCCTTCTTTTCTTTTTTTCTCTTTTTTTCCGTTATGTGCTGCTTTGTTTCTTTCTTCCGCTTACACCAGTAAATATGACAGCACCTACTTTTCTAACACTTTCAAACACTGTTCAACTTTGGCTTTGCTACCGACATGCCAATATGTTGTTTTCATAATGAACCGAGATTTCCTTAATCTATGTAGAAGTCTATTTATTGATAATGTACTAACTGGATGCAATACTGTAGTAAAAATGCTGAGAATCCCATTCTGTAACACAAGTACTGTTTTGGAATAAAGCAAATTAGTATTATTATTAAATAGTTGCTATCTTATATCATCTACTTCATTTGTATATCGTCATGGTTTTACTTTATCCTTTTCTTCTTTGCTTGACCAAAATGATCGATAAAAGCATTCAACTTAAGAGTGAACATCACAGACACTACTAACAGTGGTTCTAATCCGTTGATTTGATCTTGATGTATGAAGGAGAACTCATTGAGTGTATTCTTATAGAATCTACTGTTGATCCCCTTTTTTAAGACTGTCATTAACTTTCATTCAGCTTCAACGATAAATTGTTCAGGTCAAACTATGAAGTTTTGATAATCGACAAATTTTCGGAAATCAGTTAAATTATGCATGAAATCTACTTTGTATTGAACTCCCTGTTTTCTGTTAAACTGTCGTGGATAATAAAGACTATTCTAGCTTGTTTATATATATCCTGTACTTGATTGACTTTATTCTTCTAGGGAGGATTCCACTTCATCAGTATCATCTCCAGCACCGAAATCAATAACCGTTGGAGAAAGATGTCGAACGCCTATTTCGATTGAGCGTGAAACAGGGAAGTATTTATGTGATATCGCTACACAAACAGAAAATAATGGAATATATCAAGAGGAGATTTTCAAAAATGAATCAAGTTTACCGGGAGGTTCAAATAATCATCCATTATTAAGAAGACATCAACAACAACATGTGTTACCAGATACATCAGACAAGACAAAATATATTAATAATAATAATTATGAACCATTTGTAACTAGTCTATCTATGAATGAGAATAAATATCAACAGTTTAAACAATTAAATGAACAGAAATATAATTTAATGATGCATTTGTCAAAATCCTCAAAGCGTCCTTCATTATCATCTTCATCATCATGGTCATCAGCTAATTCTTTGTGTTCGATTAATCTGGCTGGTCATCCTAATTCGACAGAGAATAATGGATATGTACCTAATATTCACAAGGTGATTGATTCATAACTTATTACTTTTTGGTTCAATCAATGTATTATTCAAACTACCCAAGATACACCTTCAAAGTGATGATTACATAGATAACGCTGATACTTAGTGTTTTGAAGCTATTGAGAAAAGTTGTGAATCTCTAGTTTGTGTCTGTTAGCTCCCGTTAGCATGATATTTGCATAAATATGATGAAGCTCACTCCCACCCAGTGATTCGAATGTGCAGCAGTCTATACGACCGAAGTAACTGATTGGACTGGGTATATTTATTGATTCTAGCAGGAACATTGATATTATATTAAGAACAAATGACAAATATGTTTTTACGAGTTTGACCACGGACTGATAACAGTTGGAGAACCATTGAAAACTACCAAGGAGTACTGGACAGCTGTTTCATCCTAGTTTGGTTGGTGGTCGCGCTAAATCACGAATCAGTAGAAGTTAGAATTCATGGGATGGCCACTGAATCAAGTCCCAGTGGCTGAATGGTATACGAGCCAGCTTGCCTTGTAACCAGAAGGTCCTGGGTTCCAACCCTAGTTGGTGTGTACTGCCAATGATTCCCAGTACTCCCTGGTTTTCAATGGTTCTCTAACTGATATCAATCTGTGGTCAAACTCATTAAAAACAAATAACAAATAATTTCTTTTTGTAATATGTCTTCAAAGCCATTATTTAATGGCATATATACACTAAGTTAATTGACAACAAAGGTCAGTTAATAACAAAAGTAATTCTAAGTGAAAGACAGGGAGTATTCTTATGTAAATGAGAAATGTGACAATTAATTCATCAATAATGAGGCTTTATTTCGGAAAATATGTGAACACATAGTACAGAAATTTGCAGAATACTTAATTCCAATATATTAACTCTTCATACAGGATTTACACGTAAAGTAACAATCTGAAATATATCATGTTACGTAGTGTTGTTGCATATGAAAAAGAAGCGATTCTGTACATTTCCTTCAAGAATTGCACAGAGTTTTGTTGAAAGCTGATTGAATTTGTTTTGGAGTTCGTGTAGTGACCAAATGATATAAGTGCATGAATAAAATAAGCATTTTGATGGATGGAAATTCTAGTAGCCTAGTGATTTAAGCAGGCCGCCGAAATGTGGAGTGTCAATTGGAAATGGTTGATAGGAAACAAGAGATGACAGAATTAAAAATGGATTACAAATGAATCAATAAGAAGATTACATAGTTTATGATGCAACAAATCGGGACATAAAATCAAAACTAAGGCCATAGTAGTGAAGGAGGCCGGGTGAAACGTTTCTAAATAGAAAGTTCAATTTTTTTCCGTATGGATTACTAGGGCTATGGCGGCATGAGGAAGATAAAAGGAAAGTGCTATTGGACAGCTTGATCTTACCTAATATTTGACTCCAAATGAAGTTTCTACTGATGCTGCATGACCTTAAGTAATAATGGGCTCTAGAACAGAGTTGCTGACTGTCCTGATTTCTGCTTAGACGCACAGTTGTCAAATAGTCACGCTCCACTCACTCGTATGAGAAATGAGTAGGACTCTAGTTGTGGTATATATACATAGAAGCCTGACTATTTTTTTTGGTAGCAGTAATAAAGCTTGATTTCAGATAATATACGAACATAAAGTACAGAAATCTTCAGCGTACTTAGTCCCGAGATACTTTACCTGAGCACAGGATTTACTTGTAAAGTATTAATCTGAAGTATATCATGTGAAGTACTGTTGTCGCATTTGAAGAGACGACCAATTCTGTACATTTTTTTCTTTATTTCCCACAAGAATTGCCAGGCGTTTAGGTGGAAGCTAATTAAATGGGCGCGAGAGTTCATGCAGTGGTTACCTGACATAATAGCGCAATTAAAACAATAATAAATGCAGAAAAGGTTAAGCATTTTAATGGATGAAAATTCTGGTAGCCCAATGATTTAAGCAGGCCGCCATTTATCTAATGAAGGAAAGTGTTGGCTAATTTTAAGCACCTCTATAACCAAATTTTTTCCAACGAGAAACCAATGTGATATACATATATAAATTAAAGAGAATTTGATTCAGACATCTGATAATAAGTCCTTTGACTTCATTGGTTAGGACATAATTCTGCTGTCTGAACTGTATTATTAGTGTAGCGGCGTGAGACCTTCACTTTACTGTGACACTAGAAACTGCCAAATAGACAGTAGTAACTTATCAGCACGACAATAAACACGCTCACTACCAAACAGCTGTATAAAACTCATCATCGGGTATATATATATATAGTAATATGTACGTCGGTGGCACAGCGGTTAGGACGCTCGCCGACGTTCGATCCTCGGCCGATGCACACCTGATATCAATAGTCGGCCTGCTAAATTTGAAATACCGATATCACATGCTGAAAATTCCATACTTGTACCAAAATACTGTGTGGAATCTAGCTATAATCAAATAAATATATATCCAAAACAAAAGTGAATTTCAAATTTGAAGTGTGAATATCACCAGATTTTATTACATTTCATAAAAATACCAAATCTTAGGAAAGAAAAAAATCATGGTGCAGTGTTTTTATGGGTAGAAATGAGGTAGATTGTGAACCTTGTTGTTATTTTCTGTTCTGATTGGAAACTCATATGCATAAGGGTCGTCATTAATTAATGGAAATTCTCCCTACTATTACCTTTTTTCTAATAAACCCCATTTCTTTCTTTTTCTTCCACTTTTTCGCTCATCAAATTATCCAAAACAGACTTTACACAGTTCTCTTAGTACACACAACATTTGGATCTCACCACAAAGAACTTTAGTTGAAGTTGATCTACACGATTCTAACCATGGGACTGATCACAGAAATCAATCGAATGGTAAAAAAGAAGTACCAATTAGTCAACACAACTGGAATAACTATACCATTAATAAAACTAATTTATACTATCCACCTAGTGAAAACAAACGACAACAATCACCTGTTTTTGTCAGTGGAACAAGTAAACCTTGCCAGTATTACTCACCTACTCAATGTTTTTTGAACCAATCAACTCAAAAAGCAACTGATTATCCAACTATACTTTCCCCGGGATTAACAAAACACAATATAGGCTCACGTGTAAACTCCAACACCAACACAGTGACAAAATGTCCTATTTCTAGAGAATTCTCGAATCAAAGACGATTAAGTAATCAATCGCCTAGAAGTATTGAACGAACCCAATTGAAAACTACTTTGAGTCATTGTTATTTTGATACGGAAAATACAAATTCAAGTGATCATTTATGGTAAGTTCAAATATCTAAGCAGATAATGAACTGAGGTTGTTAAATAATTTGTACTAATCAATTAAGTGAATAATTTGAATCAGAGAGATCAACTATCAAGGCTTTTGACGTTAATTATCAAGAATAATGTTAAGCAAAATCTACACGTCTCATTACTGAACGTTAACTGATAGCAGCTAAATGATCAATAAAAATAATTTAATGTAACTAATTGATTATTAATTATAAAGCTGAAGTCTAGTAACTGATTATGCGTAGAAGATGACAGCATATTCTGAACGTTATTTTTAATATTTTTTTCTGTTCGTTTATGTTCCCAGTGGAACACTGGGCTTCAAGCTAGAGCTTTGAAGTTTTGGTAGCAGTGGTGTTTATTTCTACGGGATAGGGTTGCTAGCCTCATGCCAAATCTTCCCTCTTTACCAGTCTTATTACTGGCTTAGTGAGGTTGTAGTGTACATTGAACCTTTGAACTTTTGTTTGAACGCACTCACCCACTTTTGGCACTTCTTCCTCTTTCGATTCGTGACTCTCCTGTTTTATACTACATATTTCCTCATAAAGCTTGGTTATGTGGGCCACCATATCTAAGCTTGATGACCCCCCGGCCGAAGAATCCTTGGGTTGAGCGGGACTATCGTTTGCCGCAGCCGAAATGGTCATGTTGGATCTAGTAGCTTCCACCGCTCTATCGGCTGCCTCGGCTAGTTCCGATAAAGGGGACTTGTAGATCGGGGTTAAATGCCCTCAATTGCCTAAGGCAATCTTTGTAACCCAACTTGTTTTATGAAGGCATCATCTGTTTTGAAATCCGCAGCTAACTGTTTCATTTGTCGCAACATTTGAGTGGGTTTCCTGTCACCGAGCTGAACATCTCGAAAAAGTTCCTGCACTTTCTGTTGGTCGGTGAGTGCAACTCACTTAATAAGGGCCTACTTAAGACGCTCATACAGGTCGGGGGACGGGTCCTCGAGAACGTCAGACACCTCCTCCATGACATTCTCTGGAAGACTCACAATTACCAGGTTAACCTTGGTTTCTTGTGAATGTATGTGTCTGAGGGCGAACAGAGCTTCTACGTGGCCGAACCATGCAGCAGGACGATGTGTCCAGAAGGTGGGGAGTTGCAAGGTGATAGCCATTTGTGAGGCAGAACTGTTGTCGGCCATCATGGGAACAAGACGATATATTAACAGAGTGATAACAACAAATATAAGTAAAAACAAGGCAAGAAAAATTTTTTAACTCTATGTGAAAAAATAAACAAAATAGTCAATATGAAAAAGAACTATTAACACGTTAAGCTACTATGGAGGCAAACGGTGAAAACACGGGCTCACCACTTGTAGGTGTTAGACTTGGCCTAATGTAGACCTAAAACAAACACCCTTACAAAACTTATTCACCGCTTTCTGACCTTAGCTGTACTCTGCCTAACGTGCAAGCACTAACGAACTGAATCAAGGTAAAACGACTCGAGATGGCAAGTGTGCCTGGAACAGAGTTATATTTCTACACAAATGAGATATGAAACTTGGTAAAAATAAGACGTTATACACTTATCTGCTGCCTTGATTGTGGTAGGCTCGGAGAGTGCGCTGAATGAAAGCACAACCAGAGAGCGAACCAAAAATGGACAGGAGAGTCACGAATCGAAAGAGGAAGAAGTGCCAAAAGTGGGTGAGTGCGTTCAAACAAAAGTTCAAAGGTTCAATGTACACTACAAGGTAAAGCAGTGTATTAGTGGACGGGGATCGAACCCTGAGCCAAATGTGCAGTCGGCAAGCATTCTACCTCTGTGCCACCGACGCTTCTGAACGCAAAAATTGCTAACAACTGAAAAGAAGGAAAACCCTGCAATGTGTTGTTTGTTTATATCTGTAATTCTCTGTCATTTTTTTTCAGTTCATAAGCGCAACGATTCGATGTTTCAATACTACTTTCGGTTTTATTGCAACTTCATCTTTCTGACGGTGTTTAGGACAGACATCTAGAAGCTTTTGTCCTATCCAAGCCGAAAGTTTGGAATTGAAAGTATAACTGAATAATACCTGGTAATAGGCATCAAACGAAGCATCCACAGTCGAGAATATGAATGTTCTAGCAAAATTGTCTGCTGAACTTTCCTTATCTGTAGTAGAACTTATCTTTTATTAACAATAAATAAAAAGCCATACCAACTAATTTGTTGAATAAATAAAATAGAACTTAAAATAGTATGGGAGTTATTTCATGCTTTAATATTCGTAGAACAGGCAAAACCAAAAAAATGAAATAGAAACTGGAGAAATTAAGCAACTACCGCGGTGACTGGCGTGAAGAACATCTCACTACAAGAATTTGTCCTGTTGGCTTGATTTATTTTCGATTTTACCAGACATCTTTTCTTAACTCTAACCCTGATGACGTCATATGTCAGGTTCCTTTTTCGGTAAAGTCTACATCAGGAGCAATTCACAGAGTAAATTGTTCACTTTCATTTCAATCTGATTTCAGCTCATTTTGTTTATTAAAAAGCTGTTGGGTAATAAGTATCAGCTGTTTAGTTAATTGACCAGTCTACTGAACATAATTAGTCTCAACTAGGCGTCGTTATTCATTGACAACAAGGAAACAAAAAGAAATGAAATTGCCAGTAGCTAGGTGTTTAAAAGATATTCAAGAATCAATTTCAGCATATTTTAATGCCTGATTACATAATAAACAATTGAAGTCTTATCATAATTACTTATTTCATGCCTTTGAGTCTCCATTGGAACAATAAAGCTTCAAGCTGCAGCTTTGAAGTCTCAATAGAGGTGTTCCTTTTACGGGGCGGAGTTTGCCCTACCCTCCTTCCTTTGCAGACTTGCTGTCGGCTAACAAAGATAAAGGAGGTGGCGGCTGGGAATCGAACCCCAGACCACTTGCGGGGTTGGCGAGTATTGTACCACTGAACCACCGATGCAAATGGAAATGTTTAAACCTAATTTTTAAATATACATTTTAAGGTTTGGTTTAATTGGCAAAATATACAAGCCTTTGGTGTGTAAAATCATTATCACTATTAGGACATATGCACCCTAGCAGGTAGGAGACATACTGATGATCTTTGAGAGCTGAATAAGCATAGCCCTAATATTTATGCCTCTCTGGAGGTTACTTAACTTGAATACTAACTTTACAGCAACCCTTTGAAAAGACTGATGGAGGGGGTCAAACCTTCTTATGAATACCTAGAAATAATATGTAATTGAAATTAGACGAAATAATTCACAAATTCATATACATAATGAAGTGTACGAAAATGTCATGGAGCATTGAATCATATCACGAAAACATTTGTGAAGCAGCCGAACCTTGAATTCACATTAGCATGTTACATAGTGACTTTTATCTTGTAAAAAAATGCAACATACACTACTGTAGTTATAGCTACAATGTCTCTTGTTCACTGTTGCACTTACATCAACCAATACACACAACTCATTAATTTATGCAAAAATGTGACTGGTGAAAGTATCCTATTTCGATGACTAGTCTGTTTTAAATAGTTGTTTTAATCTGTACAGGTTTGTTTTTTGTTTGTTGTTGTTTTTTTCAAAAAAATTTCATTCATTAAATCATTGATTCGAAATGAGACTAGATTAGACTAGAAGTTACGGTGATCTTATGAAAATAACTAAAATATAAGACCTTATCTTACAGATACCTTATTCTGGTGTACTATTATGCAGTCATACTTTGTGTCGGTGAAAGGTATGCAATCATTTTAGCTCTTATATCAAACACTTGTCAGTAGTTCAAAGGTCTTCAAAACTCCAAGACTTCTTGCTTTTCAAAAGAATGGATACTGAACAAAGAGTACTCTTTTCGATAAATTCATCATCAGGCTCTACACTTATATATACATTATAGTGAATGAATGAATTAGTCTTATGAACGACATTAATGTTTAAATAACATCAAATCAATAATATTGATAGATTACAGCTCAATAGCATCAACATAACAGTAAACTGAATGTCAGAAGAATTAGGAAAGATAATATTACAAATTCATGAGTTTATAGTTTCTACTGAGGGCCAGGGCAGTAGTAAGGGCTGGACTTGTTTCTTTTGAACACAGAGCACTGGTTGTTTGAGGCGAATTGCAATAGCCTCTGCTGTTTGAAGCATGCGGTGCTTCGATGATTTTGGTAAATTATTAGGCACCCGGTATATTATAGAGAAGGATTCTTCCACGCTGGCTTTGTGACCGGTTTGCACCAGATGGTCTAATATCGAGCTGTTAATAGTTTTAACTACACCTTTACTTAGCCATAGTGGGATATGTTCTCGAGTGGCACGAAAAATCAAGTTCCTAGAGCAACGGCCAATATAACTCGCTCCACAAGCGCAGTTGAATTGATAGATACAATTTGAAGTGGCTAGTTTAGGTACTTCATCTTTCAGTCGAGGTAGCACCATCGGTCGTGTAGAGAACAATACTTCTTGCTTTATGAGACAATCGGATGCTAAATATACACCCTAATACCACCGAACCTTTACTAGCCTTTCGCTTTATTACTACATACTGCTAAACTCTTTTAATCATACTATGGGACGTCACTTCACTCCCCCACCATTATGTATGTTACTGCAACTGCAAAGATTTTTATACCTATTAGCATCTAAGGTATATTATAAGGTTCCTTCCTAAAGATCATTATAGAAACTACTTTAATCAATCTACTGTAAGCAAACATTTTGCTCAGATAACCAGAAAAGTAACTAGTCCGTCACAATACTGATACAACATAGCATAGCTAAAAATGCTAATTAATTACACGTTAGTAAACTGTGCTGGACAAAATCATGACCAATAAATCTTGTCCAAAACCATAGGAGGCAACAAAAATCAATTTATCTGTGTACTAAAAAAGAAAAAAAAAGTTACACTTAAGTGTTATCTTTGTTAGACATCGATGCATACCTCTATCGGTTAGATATAATCTATTCAGTTTTCCTCAGAAAAATAACATTTTTTTCTTAATTAATAAAGATTAAAGTGGGTTATTTTAGTTGCTGATTCCTTTGGCATGAATTGTTGATTTATCAAAAAGTTGATGTCATTTGTTGTCGTCTAACGGTAGCTAATTTACTGTTAATGTGCTTATAAACACTGGTATAATAGTGACTGGATTCTAGTTTATTTATAAGCCTGTATATACAGGATATGGCACCAGTCAATCAAATCTACAACAGTTAGTCTAAACCACGTAGGAAGGTGTAGACTTCCTGGTTGGGGTCCTCGGGACAGTAAAAACCAGTGGTTGGAAACAATTGGTGACATGTCTCGAAATCGTTCTCAGTGGCGCAGATGCATGCACTCCTTGTGACTTATGATTTCTAATGAAACTGTTTTGTTCTTCATTATTACTATTCCTACGTCTCCCACCTCTGTTTACTGTCTCTAATATGCATTTCTCCTACTTTCTTCTCTTGCTTTGTGTGCTACATAGAGTGTGGCGGCTTGAACTGCCGTACATATGTGCAAAGTTCTATGTCGAAAACAGACAGACATATGGCTAGCAGTATATCAAATACCTTCAACCTACTATAATAAAGAAAGTAATAATTTCTTTTCTCAAGAAGTCACTAAAACAATAAATTTTTCAACTACCAAAATGAAATAATGAATATCAAGTATGAAGGTGAAACTAATAAATCTTAACAGAGCATAAATAAACTGTTTGCTTTTTAGATAAGGGGGAACACTGTGGATTCGGTCAAAAACTGTACTTCCCTATGTATTTCACAGCAGTCAATAGGCGTCGGTAAACTTCATTATAGAGACACCCATCTCCCTTGTCTTTTTGATTACATAAATCTATTTTGTGTAAAAGAAACTAATGTATCAAGCTCCATATTGTGAGCAGACAGAAAGCCCTAATAAAGCACTCTCTATTATATTCATTCCAGAACCATTTGTTCATCGAAACCATCTTCATTGATTATCAGTTCATCTTTCCACTAGAGGTACTGTCTTTTCTTTCTAAAACCTTTTGACTACGATATCACTTCTTAGAGGCTAAGTCAATTCTCTAATTCTCTTGAAGTAACAGTGATAACTCCACATTAAAGATATTGGAGTTTTAATCCTAAAATAAATTCACCGAAATGTTCTCACTAGCCAAAACCCTGACACCTTCAGTTGATGAAGTTTGCTGCATTCGTGAGATACTCAAATGCAACTCTACACATCATCATCGAACAAAGCATGGAATGGTAATCAAATCTCTACCTCAACTTCGTAGACTTTGAGAAGGCCTTCGACAGCGTTGACCGCGAAGTAATTTGGAAACTACTCGAGTACTACGGCGTACCCCAAATATTCATCAACCTTATTCAACAGCTGTACGACAACAGCACATGTCAAGTGATCCACAACGGAAAACTCAGCGATGCGTTTGGAGTAAACACAGGAGTCAGACAAGGGTGCTTATTATCACCAATGATATTCCTAATTGTGGTGGACTGGATTATGTGTCAGACAGTGGGAAATGAGAAGACAGGGATATCCTGGACCGACGTGAAGAATCTAGAAGACCTGGATTTTGCGGATGATTTATGTTTGATGTCACACAAAATCGAAGACTTACAAGAGAAAACCGACAAACTGGTCGAAGAAGCAGCCAGAGAAGACAGGACTGCAGGTGAACATAGACAAGACGGAGGTTATGAAAATTACCAACCAACAACAACAACAACAACAGCAGCAACATCCAGCGCCAATCACCATCAACGGGAGGGATTTGAAAGAAGTTACTTCATTCACTTATCTGGGGAGCATTATCTCAACTACAGGAGGAACTTGACTGTCTATAATGACCATGGTAAAGACAGAGGTCGGACGAACTTCTTCTGAGTACATAGAGTTGGCTTAAATTTCTGGATCGCCAGTGCTTCAGCTATGACTATGTGATAGATTATTCAAAATAGGATAAATGAATTTCTAGTGCTTTCCTAGTGTGTTCATTTACTTACTGAATTACCAACCGATGCCCTGATATCAAGATAAAATTGAATTATTTTTATTATAAATATTATCGTTAGTTGTAGTGGCATTATTTATAATATTTTAATGCCCTGAAATAGATTGTGACTTTTCACATTTTTATTTAAATAATCTGAAATTAAAACAAGTCAAAAATGATGCAATGTGTTGTATTGTATTCTCATTCTCCCTGACAGGTATGAACCACGTGAACCGGAGATGACATCTATGAAGCCTGGATTTCAATAAAAATGAAAAAAACAAAGTGCAATTCAGAACATCGCATACACATATATTTGTATATACATATATGTTGTTTATCTATGCTCACATATGATGAGGAATTAAAGAGTTACAACTGTATAAAACCATATTATCATGTGCATAATTATGTAATATTATCTATTATTTATACGATTTAACTAATATTTTACAGGTATTTAATTGACTTGTCAGCTTATTATTATTATCACTGTAATATTTGTATACATCTATGAACATCTTGTTCTCTAATTGAACATTATTCAAGACTTCTACGCCTTCTTTATTTCGTCGTGATTTTTGTTTCCTTCTTATTGAATCTTCCATTTTGAAGAATACGAGACTTACTGCAGTCAATAAATATCTTTTCGGCTGGTAAGATCTTTAAAAGGCAAATGTGATTTCCTCTCATGTTATAAACATCAATCTTATTCTAGTTAGCGAAAAACAACACAACACAACGGTTTGATGTCTTCTTAAAAATCTGTTTCTGTACAAAATCTTCATTTATTTAGTCTTTGTGATTACTTTTTTTTTTAAAACTATCATGAAAATGTTCAACAATACCTGATTGTTGATTTCCTTATTATCAACTAGAAAATAAAATGAATTTTATCATTTTGTACATGGTACATTTATAATTACTATTGATTGACCATCTTACCAAGGAAACCTGTGATTGATTGATTGATTTATTGATTGGTGAAGATTACATTATCTAAATAAAAATAAGATATTGATAGAGTATAGTCTTTTATTATCATACAAAAGTAGCTAGTTTTGATACTCAACACGACTCAGGTTTTCATTTCAGCCTCAGTTTTCACTTGCATTACACCAAACTGGCGTAATATGACAGCCACTGTGCCAGTGTTGGCGGCCTGCTTAAATTTGGGCTACTGAAAAATCCCATCGATATTTTCTCCCGTTCAGTTTGTTTAAATCTGATAAAATATGACCTTTAATTACGTTTTATACTCTAGCGAGTATTTAATGTGTTTACAACTTGCTGATTCACAAGTTTCTAGTTATCGTGAGAAAAAACATAATCGTGTGTTGGGGCTTATTGCAGTGCGAGAAATAACTGTTCTTGGGTTGTATCCTTGGTTCACAGAATGGATTCCTGAACATCATAATTCCTAGGTTTGTGCTTCACGTCAGGCAGAAGTGTTTCACATGGTCTACTGTCACGTGATATTTTATTTGAAGATCCTGGATGATGAGAAAATATCATGCAACAAATTCCGCTGAAAATTTTGTACAATATATAAACGCTGTAGAAAATAAAGCTATTTATTATTTAAAAAATTACTAAAATTACAGTTTATTTCTTCGTGTTATATGAATATAAACTATAGAATAGTGTAATTGAATTTTAGATTTTCCTGTCGATTGATTGGACCGAAGTGCTCGGTCTCAGGTTGACATGTCGGCTTCTTGTGCAGATGCTTCAACGATGTCTGGGCATTTAATTAGTATTTAATTGGTGGATGGTGACTAGCAGTGGAATCCAGGATGCGCATTTCGTCCTATTTGGGACTCGTCATCTGGATGTACCTGCATTTCTCAGTGAGTGATGATGTTCGAGCCTCTGTGGGAACATCATCACTCACTGAGAAATGCAGGTACATCCAGATGACGAGTCCCAAATAGGACGAAATGCGCATCCTGGATTCCACTGCTAGTCACCATCCACCAATTAAATATATAGAAAAGTGTGTTGTACATGAGCCTATTTCAATAATAAAAATGTAAGGATTTGCGAGATGCATCTTGTATTCACCAGAAGTAAGCATACAGATTATTGATTATTTACAGATGAGCATTTGCTCGCTTCACTTATACTGACAAAGTGATTTTCAAAGAAACTTTATACAAACCTTAAGAAGATGGTTCTTCATCAGCCAGTAATTTTATTGAAGTATCTTGAATGATTGGTTTAGGGAAAGTTTCCCAGAACCTTGGTTACTGTTGTGTTCCCAACGTTGTATGTAACGAAATTGACAATAGTGACATCTTGTTATGTTATTAATACTACTATTATTCCCTAAGGTCCTGAGTGGAATACAGGGCTTCAGAATCACAACGTCATTTCATTTAGTTTCTGCAGTTTTGTTTAGCCGACTGCACGATAACCCATGAGCTTTCATTCCCTCCTCCCGTCATACGATCTCCTTGGGGTGCCTAACTCATCGTCTTACATTCCATCCACCCTATGCCACTAAATGGTTTTATCAGCATTGTTAGTCGGGAAATTTTGTTCATAAAAGATAGATAATTGACAATTTTTAATGAAGCTGCACCAGTTGAGATGATTTGAAGAGATGTATAGTAAGAAAACTTTAAAGCTGCCATGTTGAATAAAAACAGATAATGTGATTAAATTTTGATTTTGCTACTGAAATTGTCTAAATCACAGAGAAGAAAAAGTAAAATGTTCAATGATATGATTGCCTCATTGTCGAAGAAGTCAAATCTTACTTAAAATGGTAAAACTATCCAAACTGGGAACTTTTTGTGGTAGTTTTTTTCTTCCTGACATGTCTCGCTAAATTTCGTTTTTGTGCTTATGCTTTATATTGAGCCAGTTATAGTCAACATGGAGGTGACAAATGATAAACAAATGTGTGACTGTCTCCGAAGAAAGTCACTTATATCAATAAATTGTTTGAAATTATCGAACTATAAATCTAAATTATTGCTTCAGCTGTCAGATGGAACCTATTACTTAACAGATATGTTCAGGAGCATTAACTGAGAAACAGTCTAAAGTAATGTGTGTGTGTATCTATCAATTCAACTGCGCTTGTGGAGCAATTTATATTGGCCGTTGCTCTAGGAACTTGATTTTTCGTGCTAAACAACATATCCCACTAAGGTAAGTAAAGGTGTAGTTAAAACTATTAACAGCTCAATATTTGACCATCTGGTGCAAACCGGTCACAAAGCCAGCTAGCATTGAAGAATCCTTCTCTATAATCTACCGGGTGCCTAATAAATTACCAAAATCATCGAAGCACCGCATGCTCCAAACAGCAGAGGCTATTGCAATTCGCCTCAAACAACCAGTGCTCTGTGTTCAGAAGAAACAAGTCCAGCCCCTACTACAGCCTTGGCCCTCAGTAGAGACTATAAACTCATGAATTTGTAATATTATCTTTCCTAATTCTTCTGACATTCAGGTTACTCTATGTTGATGTTATTCAGCTGTAATCTATCAATATTATTGATTCGATGTTATTTAAACATTAATGTTGTTCATAACACTAATTCATTCAGATAAAGTATAATTATATTTCAATAGTTTACACACAATGATAAGTTTTGTTATTGGTAATATTTCGGGCAAAATTCACTATGATGTATATATAAGTGTAGAGCCTGATGATGAAGTTATCGAAAAGAGTACTCTTTGCTCAGTATCCATTCTTTTAAAGTAGATTAGTATTTTAAATTCCTACCTGAAACTGTCAGGCAAAAATTCACTCTATTTTATTACATTTCACAGTTATTCCCGGGTTAACTTATGCAATATCTTTTCAGTAGTATTGTAACAGGAAAGTTAATGTTTCATATGGCATAGATTCAAGAGTTAATACATATGTAATGAAGTAAAAGTATATCCTTAGTTATTTATTGAATTCTATAAAGTCTTGCTGTGGGTTTGGTGTCGGTTTGTTGTGATCTATGTTGCTAATTGGATATGATCTTGTCGACAGTTGATATGACAGAGTAGACTTATGCATGGGTATAATAATGCTGACGTAGTGGACAGTTCGACGGCTATTCTTCCATGTTTCCTTAAGCTTCACTAAGTCATGTAAATATCAAAAGATAAAGACTGGCCTGTGATTGTAAGGATACAATTTTATTGGGAAAAATGGGCTCAGGGTAGGGGAATTAGATAGTTTTGATAGATAAGCGATTCAGCAAAAAATAAATATTCTGATTGGTTAACAATTTGATCAAGATCAAGATGAGAAAAAGATGATGGAATTTTATAGTCATACGATCATACGATGAATCATAAAATGATTACCATTTTAATCTGGTTCCTATCGAGTCTGTAGTCCAGTCATTTGAAACTGCTATACATTGCACGGCATAGTTCCTTCTCCTAAGTCGATACAATTTAGTTACTCAGTTTTGTAGTCAAGTTCCCGATTTCGTCAATGAGTGGTACATATTTGAATTTCATAAGAAATACTAGGCCTTTCTTAGTTGAAAACATGTTTTATTGGTTGTAGCCAAGAAGAACAAAACAGAAGTCTGGAGCTTCATCTAATTAGAATTGTGCCAGCAAGTAGTAATGCATTTTCACCTATAGGAAAACAGTGTCGTGGGTCATGAAACTATTGTTGCGTTGTTGTTCTTAATATTGTGATTTTACAGATAAATAAACCATTTTAAACCGGTATTATACAACTTACTCTGTATTTCTGTCTCTCTATCATGTTCAGAGTGTTTTTTAGACATTATGACAACAGGAGTATGTGCTCTGCTTCCTCCTCCTTTTCAAGGAAGCTGTTCACAATTGAACCCTTTCTACCTTTCTTAACTACACCTTCAGAATATTTTAACTATCCACCTTATTTGAGTTTAGTAAATTTTTGCCAATATTCAGTCACTTTGTAGAACATAATGTAAAAGTAAAAAAACGTGTCCAGCTACTGTCTACTGGCATTTATGATTTAAGTTATTTATTTTCTAAATTTTGTCACATAGCTTTCCTGGTATGAATGAAGTCAGTTAAAATCTGGTATTGTGAACTTATGTCATCAATATGAATGTCGAAAATGACTCTCATTCAGATTACACCGACAGGAAACATTCTACAAGAATACAAGTTTACCAGAAACTAAAGCGTTCTTTGTATTGTGGAAGCCGCATGAATAGTTCAATAATAGGAAAAAATTGAATAAATTAGATGTTTGCCCACTTAGAGTCAATAATTAGGTCAACAAAAAGAGCACAAAAGCTCTGACATTTTTATTTTAAATACAACAATTGGCATTGTAAAATTTAAATGTTAATGATAAATGTTCTCATGAGACTTTCTTACCGGCAGGCAGTCTTATCGAAATGACTAAAATTTTAGTCAGTTGGTAAAATGTTGAGGCTAGAGGCTTGTTATGATCCAGATTTTCTTTAAAAGTCAACCATTATTTCCCTATTTTAAAATATACGTCAGTTATTTCCTATTTCGGGTGAAAATTCTTATTCAATTTAACAAAAGACTGTTACAAAATATACTAATTTAACGACAACATCTATTCCCTACAACTCCCAGTTTTATACCAGTTTGCAGATGATACAATCGGAAAACAAATAACCTTAATTAATAAAGTTAATGCATGAGTTGACTAAATGATACTTATCACACGTACACAGCAATATCAGGGTAAGCCTGACATTCTCTTACTTGACACAATAACTGCGTCCTTAACAACAGACTGATCGATACTATTCTGAATGAAACTATTTGTGTGCTTATACAGACCTATGCAACAATATATCATACATATCACTTTGTTAAACCTGTTTTTGGACGGACGAGGATGTCAAATCGAGAATCGGGAAGGCGAGAAACACATTCAACAACCTGAAACCAATCTGGAAATCTTCGTCACTCAGCCTGCATCAACAACAAAATTCGGGTTTTCAATACAAACGTCAAGTCAGTCAGTTCTTCTATACGGATCAGAAACTTGGCGGGTCACAAAGAATATA